CTGGAAGATGGTTTTCAATCAGAACACGGCCGTTACGCGATCTAATAGAGTGAATGAAGATTTGTACCTGGATTTGGCCGACTTTCAATCTGTTTTGTCTGGAAGTCTGGATGATAATTTATTGATTGGTAAGCATAAAATTTTTTAGATGTTTCATGCTATCTCGAGTGTATTATATACTAATGTAAACATATACCTGTTTTTGCAGATGTTCTTGGACAAGTTATGGATTGTGGTCCAGTCGAAACCATTCAGTGTGCTGGAGGAAAGTAACGAAAAAAGCTTGAGTTAACTCTAACCGACATAAAGTAAGTCAAAGCGCTTATGGTGTGCTCATTAACCAAGATTATATCACTAACCATATCTTAAATTATATTCGTAGTGATTCACGTTTACCCTGCTGCATCTGAGGCAACTTGGCCAAGAAACTCCATTTTGCAATTAACCAAGAAGATGGAATGGTTACTATGTTGCTGAGGTTTGCTAAGCTTGGTAAATTTAGAGGTACATATTTACACTCAGTCCATTTTGATACAAACTAATTCTGCATAAAAGATTCATTATTTGTATTCAAATTTTATTATTAAGTTTGGTAAAATTCATAACTGTATAACTAATTCTAATTAATATAATTTATGAAAATTACCAAAAAATAGATTAAATTAACATAAGAATCAAAAAAATTGTAAATAGATTATATAATCTTATTTAAAAATCATAATTGTATAATTAATTCAAATTAATATAATTTATAAAAATTACCAATTACATAGATTAAAAAAGAAAAAAAACAGCATTTTGACAATACAAACAATTTGTATAGATTAAAAATTAACGTAAACATTAAAAAATCAACTTCTAACTAAAATCATTAACACACTTGGTATACATTTTATATAAAAACACATTTGTTATAATAAAAAATAAATGTCACATGAAACATACCCGCGCTTCGGAAGCGCGGGTCAAAATCTAGTATGATTTAAAACATGATTTTAAATCTTTCTATATATTAATTGAAAAGTCATTTAAGTGACTGCTAATGTGATTGGTCCAAAGTATTTTTAGTTTACTTTTAACAATACTTTAACGATCGTTAATTCAAGAACTAATAAAAACTCATGGCCAAACAACTTTGACTTTTAACCTAAGAATTATTTAGGGTTATTCTATTCTTTCATAATCTTCAACGCCTCTCTTCTCCCTCTCGAGCAAGAATACGTATCCCTTAGCGGCATGGACTTATATGACTGATGTGGTATGTGGTATGTGGAACGTGAAGCTATTGTTTGCGTTGTTCATGATGAATCAGAGCTGAATCGTTTCAGTGATAATGGTACTAAAAGCCTTGTCTATCAACTTCTCGATCATATCAACAGCTACGAGAAGAGTTCCGAACGTAGAGGCTTAACTGAAAGGCAATATAATATTCATACGCACTCCCTTTATTCAGCTGGGTCCAGGTTGTATATTCATGGTCTCCATCACCTTTACTTCTATGCTATTTTTGCATCAAACCAGACCCACAACATATAGGTATCTCTCTGTTCGACTACAGAAAGAAACATTGCCTTGTGAATATTCGTTTTCATCTGTAAGTGGTTTAAACATTGCCTTGTGAATATTCGTTTTCATCTGTAAGTGGTTTTAACATTGCCTTGTGAATGTTCTTTCGTAATTTACACTAGAGTTTTTACCCGCACGTTCGTGCGGATATATTTTTCATTTTTAAAAATTTATTTAATATTAATGTAAATGCTTTAAATATTTAATTTATATTTTTATGTTATATATTGTGTAAATTTATAATCTAATTGCTGTAGGTTTTTATTCAACATTATTAATATAAATGTTTTTTATATTTTTATATTTTCTCAACATATTATTTTATAATAAAAATATTAAATTTTTCAGTTAAAAATATTTTGCACTAATATCTTCTGAATTAGTAAAACTTTCTGATATCCTATCTTTTTTAAATAACACATGAACTAAAAGTTAGTTATATACTATTATATTTTTTTATATAATCATTTTAGATAATATTTTTTTGTGAGTTTTAAATTAAGTAAAAA